TTATAGTAGAATTCTATAGTATTGATGTAGTAATTTATGATTTTTTAGTTATTCAAAAGTATATATATAAAATTTATAAAAATATTTTGTTTCATATCTTACACGTGCAAAATTTTTAAAGGCTTAGCAACCTACGTCAAGCAGCAACCGAGGACAAAGGTCGTAACTAGAACAGATAATTGTTTGCTTTGCTTCTTTATTTACTGTTCTGTGTTTTAGGAAAAATAAGTTTAAGAACTTATTTCAAAATAGCAATAATCTATATACATATATGATGTATAATAATTGAAATGTGACTGTATTTTACAAAATACTAGTCAACTAAAACACAGCCAAGACAGGTCACTTTGTACAAACCAAAGGTCACCTTTATGTTATTTGATACGGTAATATGAGTGCACGTGAGCCGTGTCATTCTAACTTTTGTATTGTTAGCATGGGTGAAAGGTCAATATAACAAAAATAATAAATATTATATAAATGTATAATATTATGAGATTTAAGCTATTTTGTCTAAATATTTATGTTTTCGTGTTATAATTTCTGTTCATTCTAGAATGAAAGATGCATAATTTATGTTTATTTTCTAATTTTTATGGTGGTTGTGAGATAGTCCCAATTTACAGAACCCGTACAGAGATTAATTACTGAAAATAACAGATAAAATATAAAGATTTTTCTAAAGAAATGTTTGATAACTATCCGGACATTATAAAGATTTCACATGTGAAATTTCAAAATTTTTCTGATGCATAAAAGTATTTTTAATCTTAAAATGAAAATTATATTGCATGATAGATAGGCAAGATGTGAAATGAAAAAAAAAAGCATGAGAGAAAAATTATTTTAAAAACTTAATAAAAAAATTAGATATTTTGCATATGAAAGCATTGTAATGTTTACTGATAAACATCCAAATTTCGTTAATATTCGCTTACTAATTTAAAAGATATAGCATGAGAAATATAACAAGCACAAAATGGTTACGAGATCGGTCCCAGGGACCAAGTTCGGGTTGTAAGAGTTAATACCTCTCACCACTACCAAAATGTTTGCATGCCCACAGCCTTTGAGAAATTCCTACCCCTACTCATAATAACATGTACTATACAAGTCTATGATGCAATCAGTGCTAGACATACCTCCTTCATCAATAGGAGGGAAACGCATCTTCTATGCACAATAATGTGTTTAAGCACTTTGTGTGTATTCTACAACTCATTCTCTTCCTCAACTCTACAGTGTTCAGTTGTGTTTCACTTTGTGTGTATTCTACAACTCATTCTCTTCCTCAACTCTGCAGTGTTCAGTTGTGTTTAAGCACTTTGTGTGTATTCTACAACTCATTCTCTTCCTCAACTCTACAGTGTTCAGTTGTGTTTCACTTTGTGTGTATTCTACAACTCATTCTCTTCCTCAACTCTACAGTGTTCAGTTGTGTTTCACTTTGTGTGTATTCTACAACTCATTCTCTTCCTCAACTCTACAGTGTTCAGTTGTGTTTCACTTTGTGTGTATTCTACAACTCATTCTCTTCCTCAACTCTACAGTTGTTCAGTTGTGTTTCACTTTGTGTGTATTCTACAACTCATTCTCTTCCTCAACTCTGCAGTGTT